CTAGAGAAGACTATTATGCTGGGGAAAGTGGAAGGAAAAAGGAAGAGGGGCCGACCAAGGGCAAGATGGATGGATGGCATCCTTGAAGTGGCTGGACTGACCTTGAAGGAGCTGGGGGTGGTGACGGCCGACAGGGAGCTCTGGCGTGGGCTGGTCCATGAGGTCACGAAGAGTCGGAGACGACTGAACGAATGAACAACAAATATTATTCTATTATATTACTATATTATCATTATCATTATTATATTATATTATTATATTGTTATATTATTGATATTATTCTATTCTATTATTATTATATTATATTATATTATTATATTATTGAGATTCTTATATTACTATCTTTATTATATTATATTATAATATTATCATATTACCATTATTATATTACCATTATTATATTATCATTATTATATTAATATCCTTATTATATTATTGTATTCTAGTATTGTATTGTTCTATTTTATATCATAATATGATGTTATTATGCCTCCAACAACAAGAATATAATAGTAATAATAATAATAACAATAACAAAATAAAATATATACTTATAACAATATAACAATATATTTTAGAATAATTTTATACAATAACATCATATTATAAAATAATATATAATAATACAATAGCAGAATACAATAATATAATAATGATAATATAATAATAATATATAAGGAGCTGGGGGTGGTGACGGCCAACAGGGAGCTCTGGCGTGGGCTGGTCCATGAGGTCACGAAGAGTCGGAGACGACTGAACAAAGGAACACAACAACAATAATAATATATTAATATATAATAATATATAATATAATAATATAATATTAATAATAAATAAAAAACTTGTATATAGTAATATAAGAGTAATATATAGTAATCTAATAATAATAATAATAATAATAATAATAATAATAGAACAATATAATAATATAGAATAAAATATAATGAAAATATTATAATATAATAAAGAATAACATATAATACAATATTATATAATAATATGTAATGATGATTATATAATATAATAATATATTATATTATAAATTTATATTTATATTGTATTATCATAATATAATTTATAATATAATTTATATAATAATATAGAATAAAATATAGTGAAAATATAATAATAAAATAAAATAAAGAATAATATATAATACAATATTATATAATAATATGTAATGATGATATAATATAATAATATATTATATTATAAATTTATAAATGTATATTTATATTACATTATTATAATATTATTAGGCTGGGAAATAAATGCAATAATAATATCACATATGATAATAGTATATGATATTATAATATTATGTATTAATATAGTATTATATATTATTATTATATTATTAGACTGGAAAATAAATGCAATAATAATAATAATAATAATAATAATATGCATATACTTCCCATTAATATATTAATGAAATATATATTTAATGTATGTCTTTTATTATTATTACTATTATTATTATTATTATTATTACTATTATTGTGTTTACTTCCCAGTCTAATATAATAATATAATATATTAGACTGGGAAGTGAATGCAATAATAGTGATAATGATAATAGACTGGAACTTACATTATTATTATTATTATTATTATTATTATTATTATGAGATTGGTGAGTAAATGCAATATTATTATGTAATATATAAAGTAATAATATAATATATTATTAGACTGGGAAGTAAATGTAATGATAATTATAATGATAATAATAATAGACCAGGACTTTCATTATTATTATTATTATTATTATTATTATTGTTATTATTATTATTATTATTATTATTATTATTATTATTATTATGAGATTGGTGAGTAAATGCCATATTACTATATAATATATAATGTAATAATATAATATATTATTAGACTGGGAAGTAAATGCAATAATAATGATAATAATAATAATAATAGACTGGAACTTACATTATTATTATATTATTATTATTATTATTATGAGGTTGGTGAGTAAATGCAATATTATTATGTAATATATAATGTAATAATATAATATATTATTAGACTGGGAAGTAAATGTAATAATAATAATGATTATAATAATAATAGGCTGGGACTTACATACATTATTATTATGAGATTGGGGAGTAAATGTCATATTATTATATATAATATAATATAATATAATATTAGACTGGAAAGTAAATGCAATAATATACATACATTATTATTATTATTATTATTATTTACATACATTATTATT